AGGTTTTTAATGAGGCAACCGTCGATCGTGCTGCACTTTCAACAATATCCGAGGCCTCTTTTCGACAGACCTCAAATACCAGGAGGGCATCAGGGCCCTCAAATACATCGAATTTAGATACAAGAAAGTTCATCTCACAACAACAGGAAAAATTGTAAGAGCCGAATGGTCAAAATGAACCATGCTCATATAGATTGGCCCAAACGTAAACACATGTGCAATGACTTGAGATTTATAGCTCAACCAGAATTAAGATTCATTCAACAATCAAGCCTACGGTCTACTTATATCCCGAGTTCGAAATATTCACTCGACCATTAAGCCTACGGGCTACTGTTATCTCGAGTTCGAAACATTCACTCGACCATTAAGCCTACGGGCTACTGTTATCTCGAGTTCGAAACATTCACTCGACCATTAAGCTTACGGGCTACTGTTATTCCGAGTTCGAGCAAGCGCTCACTCGACAATTAAGCCTACGGGCCATATTATCTCGAGTTCGAAACATTCACTCAAATATTAAGCCTACGGGCAATTGTTATTCCGAGTTCGAGCAAGCGCTCACTCGACAATTAAGCCTACAAACCATATTATCTCGAGTTCAAAATATTCACTCGAATATTAAGCCTACGGGCTATTGTTATTCCGAGTTCGAGCAAGCGCTCACTCGACAATTAAGCCTACGGGCCATATTATCTCGAGTTCGAAACATTCACTCGAATATTAAGCCTACGGGCTATTATTCCGAGTTCGAGCAAGCACTCACTCGACCATTACACCTACGGGCTACAATATTTTAAGTTCAAAACATTAACTCGACGGCTAATAAGCTACTTTTACTCTGAGTTTACATTAACTCAACCATTACATCACGCCTACGGATTATGTCCCTCCAAAAGTTTGGATCATCGACTCAACAAGCAAACCCAGGGGCTACAAATCTTATCGATCAGAGAAACTACAAGGTCAACATTCGATTAAAAGTCTTCACAAAATAAAAACAAGTCGACCTGACTACACATGTATATACAAAATTTGCCTACGGGGTTAATGTACAAACATCAAGAATTAGAAACTAAGCTTCCTGGTCGAGCTCTTCCCCGTCCTCGGATCCGCTTTTGCTACCATCATCATCGTCGTCGTCAGAAGCTAAGGCTTCAGCTTCCGCTTCGAGTTCTCTTGCCTTTTTTACCTCTTCGTCAAGGTCAAAACCTCGAGCGTGTATATCCTCGAGGGTCTCCCTCCGAGACCTACACTTAGCAAGTTCGGCAATCCAATGAGCTCGAGTATCGGCGATCTTCGCCGCTTCCCGAACCTCCATCTGAGCAGCCTCAGCATCAGCCGAATATACAGCAATGGACTTATCCGCCAAGACTTTCGACGACCCAATCTCCGCCTTAGCCTCGGCAAGTCGTGTTTCAAGCTCCTCGATCCTCTTAGCTTGAACCGACCCCTTTTGCTTGACACTTCGAAGCTGAACGTCGGTCAATAATAATTTTGTTAAGATGGTTTCTTTTTCTGCTGCCAGGCGGTCGAGGGTCTCCTTCCACCAATTGCATTCAGCTCGGATTTGACCGACTTCTTCTCAAAGTAATCTGATTTTTTTGATCTTTTGCTACAACTGAGACAACGAAGGGTTAACTTCCACGGTTGAGTCAGACCCATACTTTAACAAAACGAGGCTCACCTGCTTATCAAGCTCGACCCCTTCTTCACAGACCTTAGCCAAATCCGCTTGGAGGTCCTTTATAGCCTCGTCCTTTTTGCTGCAAAGAAGCGCAGGGCATCTCTCTCACCTGAGACCTTCCGGAGCTCGGCCTCACAATGGATAAAATCGACTCGAAACCTACCAATGGCCTGCACAGCAAGAAACACAAAGTCAAGTATGGAAAAGAACAAATAAACGAAGTATGGAAGAATCATTACCCGAGTAATGAAACGCTGAGCCTCCTCCAATAAAAGAGAAGCGTCACCGATATCGGAACCGTCATCGACTCCAGTAAAACAATCCCCGAAAGGATCCCCTGCACTAGAGCCTGCGCCGATATCAGGAGTCTTCAATTCTCGAGCATCCTTCAGCGCCTCCTCAGAAAAAGATGGAAGAGAAGGAGAATCACCCATTGTCATAGCCCCGAGCAAATCGCTCGGAGTATTCCGGTCGAGATTCTGGTCTTCGGGAATAACCCCGACAGTTACAGCCGACATCGGCTCGGTAGCTCTGGCAACCTCGATGGCCTCCGTAGACCGAACTACCAAAGTCGAGGAGCTATTTTCTTCTTCTTCTTCTCTTAGTCGTTGGACCGAGTCAATCGAAACGGCAATTGTTTTTCTCTTCACCCTGCGAGTTTTGGGCTTGGGGTCCCCTGACCGAAAGGAAGCTTTTCGTTTCTTATCTTCCCCCTGTTTAGGGACTAGGGACTTGTTTCTTTCCTCGCCGCTCGAAGGCCTCAAAACGGCATCCCTTGTTACACCTGCACAAGAGGAAATCGGTAACGAATAGAACGCAAAGAATACTTCGAAGGAAACAAGAAGCAAACCTCACTATGGTTCTTGGCCTCCAATCTGCCTTTTGCCAAATCACGCCAAGCGCGCTCGATGTAAGAGGAGGTCGAGGCCAACTTCCGAACCTAGTCCTCGAGGCCGGGCAACGCTTGTGGCATCCAAGGGGCAGCTGAACATCAGGGAAGAACATCAGAAAAAATCGAAAAAGCACCTGAAAAGTGAACAAAAACTACTTACGGCCAAAATTCCATTCCTTAGGGAACGACATCCTCTCCTCCGGAATGATATCACGGGTCCTCACTCGGATATAACGACCCATCCAACCTCGATCCTTGTCCTCATCGATGCACGATATCAATGCCTTCGATGAAGTCTGATTAGCCCTCGAAAGATCTGAGGCCGATACAGTCGGATGAGGTGGTTCAGAGAAAAATCCAACCCTCCAGCTTTGGTAGAGAAGAAGCGCAATAGGATCACTATACGCCATAAAGAGGGATGGATTTGGCCAAGGGCGGCTTGATACCTTTTGCAGAAATCAATAATCATCGGGTCGATGGGTCCCAGTGTGAAGGGATGAGTGTAAACACTTAAAAACCCCTCCACGTAAGTGGTAACATCCTCGTCGGAAGACGGAATTTGCAGCACGACCTCGGAACCCCAGTTGCAGTCCTTTCGGACGGCCTCGAGGTGATCCTCCGTTATAGAGCATATATACATCGATACATGTTCACATCGACCCGAAAAGGAAAGAGGGTTCTCCACCTTAAAATCGGTTTTCAAAATGCATGGGCCAGGAACATAGTCATGGACTAACGGCTCCACCGGCGCCTTATCATCAGACAGCCGTGAGGAAGAGGCTTTGTCCTTCTGCGCTACAGTTTTGAAAGTTTTCGCCATTGATTTGAAAGGAAAGAGTGCAAGGGAAGAAATGGACAGCACCAAAATTATGGTATGAACGACCCCGTAGCAGCAAAGTAGAGAGGATAAATAGGAAAGTCTGGAGGAAGAGAAGGCGCAAAAATGGTAAAAGTTGTGTGAAAAAATTATTTATAGACTAAGGCCTGACGGTTCGGTATCCGCGGTGGCCGACCACCGTCTGACACACATTAAATGCCTCGGTAAAACAGAGCCGATGGGACAGCAATCGCATACGTCGAGATCGGGTTCGATAGAAACGTCGGCATAAATTTGATCGAGCCGCAGGGAAATCATATCGTTCCTCGCCACATCCTTTCCGAGAAACGAGGGGATTATCTGTGTACGGTCAAAACCGATTCTCAGTCATAAAGACCGATCGAGACAATAATATTTCAATCGAAGGGTATCCGCATGGCGAGCTCGGACGATTTCCGAAGTAGAGACGTTGAGCTTCGAGCCATAAGACCATTCAACCGCAAAACTATCGAACCCGAGTCTGGATTGGACTACGGGGTAACGATGACCGACGCGGGCCCCGAATATCGATGCTCCAAGGCAGAACCGAGCTCGAATTAAGATCGGGGATTCGATCTAGCACCAAGCTCGAGTTAGTACCCAACTCGCAAGACAAGAGCCGTTACAACCGCACCTAGGGAGAGAATCTTGGCGAGAATCGAGGGAGAGACAAACCATCATGGGTTCTTCACTATATGTATTATTTTATATTGTTACTAATAAATTAGTGACCCTCTACTATAAAAGCAAAGATAGACTGCAGTAGAAAGGTGGCTCAAGATTTCATTGTGCTTGTTCTTTTAATATTTTTCAGTCTTCCCTTCCATCATTTTCTATATATACAGCAAAATACTTGTATTGTCATTTATATCAAAGAAATTTGCATACCCTTAGAACCATATTTAAATTTAACGTTATCCAATTTTTCGGGTAAACACTTTCTTTAGTGAATTTTTTGTTTAGGTGAATACGAAGTCATTAGATTTGGTAGGGTTTGGGAAGCCATACTTTGGTGGTCGCAGACGTTAAAACTTTTTTCCATTTATATAAGACTATAACGTTGAACTTTTTTTGAAAATAAAAGTTTCAAATTCATCAATGATCTCAAACTCTTAAATATTACTTCCCGGTCAGTGATCATTTTACTATTTATTTTGGTCCAAAATAAATATTCATTTACATAATCAAGAATGAAATTAATTTTATTTTTTCAAAATTTGCCCTTATTTACATATTCTAATAAATATATTTTTTTCATCTAAGAGTTCGTATTTTCTTAATGAGTGTGATAAATATAAATGATCACTTATTATGGATCGAAAGGAGTAGTAGATTATTTATAAAAGGATATTTAGTGCATTTAGTATCGTTATAAAAGATGTACATATTTCAAATAAGGAAGAATTTAATAACTAAAATTTTAGATAATTTTAAAATCTTAAAAATTAAAAAATTAATTAAATTACTATTTTGTTCAAAGTGAAATTTATTTTCCGAAGATAAAAAAGACGAAGGTAGATTATAATCATGCCCAATCAACATTATGTAATGATAAAGTCTCGTAGAACTGGAATGGACGAGCAATCATTTTCTGTTTTCCTTCAAGGTGGGGAAACCAAGAAATAAATAGGAGGATAATAGTTGGAAACAGGTGTAGTAACTTTCAACCCGTGACACAGATAAGATAAATCCAAAACAGCAAAATGCACCGACAATATCAAAGTGCCAAACCGTGAAAACTATCTCTAATAATTAATTAATTCCCCACGTTAAGAAAAAAGAAAAAACGGAAAGAGCCAAAAGGAGAAAATCCCATTAAAATCCAAAAGCAGTACTTCAGCTGCAGGTTTCACGAGCAACGCCGAGCTTAGAATTAGGAACGTCAAAGAGGAAGCGGTGATTCTGTTGCTGCCAGTTGGCGATGACGTTGAGGACGGAATTGACAGGGTCGGCTGGGGAAGCAGCCATAGCGAGGCAAGTTGTACTGCTGGAACTGCTGCGGATTAAGAAGTTGTCTTGCGGCAGCGTCACGTTCATGCCCGCAAACATCAGCGTTATTGTTGGAATTGTAATGGGGACGGTGTAGCAAGTGTCGAATCCGCCAAGGCTTGTCACGGTCGTGTTCCTTCCCATTCTCCTCCTAAACTCGTTCCTCACTGCCGTATACGCTGGCTCCACTAGCCTCGTGAATACCGTTCCTGTCGATTGACAATGCCTTTTAGCAAAAATTGGTACATAGAATTATAATTACAGATATATTGATCATTGTTAAATTAAATACCCGAATCAATTATGGTGCCGGCACCGGTGGAAGGGTTGAAAGCCAAAGCACTGGGAGGGATGTCAACGATTCTCCGGCCGACTTTAACTCCGACCAAGTTGACATAATAAAAGGAAGATCTCCTTGGGTTTCTTAGCAATTGAGTTGTCTTAATCCTTTTGGGCTGGCCATTTGGGCCCAACCTGAGTGTGCCGGAAAAGTTGGGAGACTTGTAACTGGGCAAACAGTAGGAGAATGTAGACTGGTAATGGCTTTGGGTTTGGGACAAAAATGACAATGGGCCTCGACCCAAACCTAATAGCCCCTGGGGTGGCGCGGAGCTGCCGGTGGCCTTTTGTACACAACCAAAGGTATATGAAGGCACGGCGTCAGTGGCGAGTGTCAATGTGTCTTGTGAGAGATTTGCAGCTATGCTGGAGCCGCCGTAGGTTAGGTTGAAGCCGCAGCTGCTGCCACCGCATGTGGGATTTGGTACCTGAGAAAAATATTTTTTTAGTAATAATTAGCATATACACAAATAAATCTTGTTGTGTAAAATTTCATATAGTCCAGCTGAACTTATTTGATACTGAAACCTAGTTATTGTGCTTTATACTTGGAATTCCTATTGTCCATTTTACCAGTAACATCTTATATTTTAGCGACATAAAAGTGTCTTACAAATAAATGATGTTCTTTTGTGGAATGAGAATGTTGACCAAATCATGTGACTAAGGGTCACGGGATTAGTTATCTCGGATAACTCTACCGCTAATTGCTCCAATGTCGACAAAGCCAGGAAAGAGGAAACAACTTTTCAGTTCCCACGCGCCATACGAAGCTCGTTTCCTATTTTAAAAAATTCACTAGCTTTTCTTAAATTATGATCATTTTCTTATCCTGAAAGTTGTGCTTAATAGATTATTATGTTGAAAGCTGTTTAATCCTATTTATACGAAGTGCTCTAAGCCTATTTTGAGCCGAATAGGATCATTAAATTGAAGACAGAGAAAGCGTTACATGTGGTAGGTGTGCTCTTATATACTACTAGTAGTATATAAAAAACATGTGGTTGATATGCTATCGCTGCAGAAATGTAGATAATTTCTAGTACTTCAACATTAGAAGTTAAATGCACGAAAAACTAGTTTAGGAAATTAGGAAATCTTTCAAAATGCTGTTCCTCCATTCCATTTTGTACTGACACTCTTTCCATTATAATTTATTTTAACAAGAATAACACCTTCATGAACTCTTTTACATTAAACTTCCTATACAACTCTTATAGCTAAAGAGATGTAGTGATATGGTTACAAGTTACAAGGACACTTTAATACATGTCAAAAGCCTTTTTTTACTTCTTAAATTTTATGTCGAGACAAAAATGGCATTTTTATAAAACAAAACGGAGAGAGTAAAATGTAAGAAAGGTGTATAATAAAGTTGGTTTGAAAGGTATAATGGGGTACCTGGCTGCATTGTGCAGCTCCACAGCTAACATTCTTGAAAGTGGTGGACTTGTCTGATGCAAAAACAGTAGAGGAGCAACCAACACAACCACTGCAAGGGAACCAAGCAACATCATTGCTATTATCCACAGCAACCAACAAGGTTTGAGGTGGGGTTCCAATCTTGGCCCTCACTATGTAAGTTGGGCTCTGTATAACTTGTCTTCCCGAAGCAATTGGAACAAAAGATCTCCCAGCCACAAGACTAGCAAACAAATCAAGTCTGGCTTGGTCTTTGGACTGCATTTGGAGGACAGTATCAACCCATGACTGGGGAGCATTGTTCCTAAGAGGAGAGCAAGGGCTGTTCACATGTAGGACTTGTAGTGTTGAGCCTTTGTCTGCTTGGGGAAAGCTGCTGCCACATTTGGGGTTGGTTAGCCCTTTGGCTAGAGTGAAAAATAAGAGAAGGGATAGTAAGAAAATGATAGAGCCCTCCATTGGCTTGTGAGAGTACTTTGGCTTTTGGTGTGGTTTAAGAGGTCTGCTTACATGTATATATAGTTGAGGAGGCGTACTTCTTTTGATTATTTCCTTTTACAATTTGCACTTTTAGTTGAAATTTTGATAATTTCTGATTTTTGTGCTTGATTTATAGTTAAGCACATTTAATTTATAATTAATTAAATTATGCACTTTACTTTTAATCTTTTTGATTGTGAACTTATACGATCTTAATAAATTATTAGCTGTAAAACCATTTAATTGCTCATGTGTTATATCTAGTTTGTAGTGTTACAGTATTTCATAATTGAGGCTAGTATAGTATTTTAAATATAATCTATATCTTTTATGTTAGGGACAAAAAAATATTTTGATTAATCCTATTAATCAAGATTAAATATGCTAAGTGGAATATCACATGTATCAAAATTAAAATTTACATAACTGAGGGATCAAAAGTTCAATTGCTCTTTTACTTTTTCACTCTTTTCGAAAAATATTGTAACAGTTCATCCCGTTAGTGATATTTTTCGTTCTAAGGCTTGTTAACTTATATACCCAACATAATTCTGTCTAAAGTCTGGGACGTTACAAATATGGCAACTGAACTTTCGGAAAATAAAATATGGAGAATGAATTTGGAATAAAAATTAAACTGGATATTATACCATGAAATTTTCACTTACTATTCTTTATTTGAACATGGGTGGGAGAGTACTCGAGGAGGCCAGTGTAGTGTAGTGTCTAATCTATGGACTCTAGTTTGATACAGACTGTATTCCATTTTCCCTGTGTATGATATCATCTCTGTTCTCCACATAGATAAGATGATATTATTTCTTATTCAATTTTTGGCGATTTTTTATCGTCAACCTTTTCTTGTTTTCTTTTTACGACCAATGGAATATGGAAATATCGACATACATTAAGCAACAAGCTTAGTGAACTGTCAGTTTTTAAACCATCTCTGATCTGCCAAATCTAAAAACAATAATAGGAATATATTTGTAGTTTAAGATCAACGTACCATTGGAGAATATTAGTGTGTAATTTAGTGAACATTAGCACATGAGGGAATGATTGTCAGTACTTTCTCATGCAGCATTGTGAGATTCGAAATACTAATAATAGACAAATTAGAGTAGGGACACTTAAAGCAATAAAAGAAGGTTAGTGTAGTGATTATTATCGTGGAGTACGATCTTGATTTGATACCATACTCTATGTGCCAAAGGGAAAATAACTTGACCCCTAGATTTTGTTAGAATAAAGGGACCAAGTTTGTTCTCTATTTTATTTTGTATGTGAAAACGAAATTTAAAAATATAAATAAGACTTTTGAATGTTGAGATCTTAAATTAAGGCGCATATAACATACTAAAAATATATTTTGAATCTTGTGATTTTAAGATAAGCTGACAATCTTCATTTTTCCTCTTTCATCTTTGTAGTTATTAGATAAATACACTAGCATTTTCTTCCAAAGCTGGATCATGGAAAATTGACTGATTGGTATTCTTATTGCTTTTAACAATTCAAGTTAAAAGAGATGAATGGTAGGTAAGATCAATACAATGAAACATTAAACTTCTGGAGACGTCATAGATAACTTTCTAAATTAGAGGTAATTGCATTGAATTTTTGAGCTAGAAAAGGAGGTGTTAGTAATTGCACAATAGTTACCTATTATGCATATAAATCCTTCTCAAGGACTTAATGAATCTAGACCTAGTACAAACCTTAAGACAGAAATTTAAAAAACCATGGGCAAATTTTATTACATATGTTAATTTTTTCTTTGGATTAATAAAGATTTTTCTGTAAACTAAAAAAGAAAAAGAGAAGAATCTGATGATTAACTCTTCACCTGAAAAGTTAGCTAAAAGTCTTCTCTGCAAAACCAAATGGTCATTTAGTGGAATATTTGTTGCAGATTTTCACTTTCGAGGTTAGTTCCAACTTCCTAACTTTCTATAGAATCATTGAGTTATCTTAAAGTAAAAACACATCTCTCTGAGCAAAAGGAAGAACATGAAGGGTTTCAGCTTTTCAAAATTTTCAGATGAACAGTGCAATAATTCAATTACTTTTCCCTTTCCTTCTAGTTTAAAACTGATTTATCAATCGACAGCTTAACTCAGGTTCGTGAGAACCAGATCACGTGCAAGTTTCCTGAACATGGTGGAATTGTAGAGTCCGGAACCAAAATATGGTTCTTTTGGACTCAAAGAACCAAAATATGTGGAAAAAAACAGACTACCATAATATGTATAGCGCGTGTAATGAAATTATTTGCGGAATTGAATAGAAAAAAGAAGTGGGAAATTTTATTGCTCAATCAAAGGAATTGCAATTAGAGTTTAGGATTACAAATTCAACTACTCTAAATGATAATACCCAACCGTAATAAGCTTTAATGGAGTTCCTGAAATGGAAGAAGAGAATTAGGTCGAAGTGAATTAGAATTTGGGGAAGAAGATCGAAGAGAGAAAGAAAGAATATAGAAGAGAGAGGCAGTTGAATTACCGGTAATGACATACTCATTCCGTTACAACTAATGGCATTAATAGCACATTAGAATAATCTTCCGCCATTGGATTCTAACTAATTGATTAGATCTGGGCCCACCATCTGTGCAGCCCTTTTAATCTCTAATCTCGCAGCTGTCCATCTACATGCTCACGATAATGCCATGTGTCCGCGCATCCGCCCTTTATTTTTAAAACCCTAATCGATTCATTACTTTTCATTTCCCCACTTCTCACACAACCTAAGTATCCTAACAATATCCCGCCGATGAAGAACGACCTTGTCCTCAAGGTCGGATATGAGCTAGCTGAGCCACAGATTCAGGGAACTGACTCTTCAAGTAACCCCACTCTTCCCAAGTAGCCTCATCGTTTCCCAAGTTAGTCCATTGCACAAGCACCTTGACTGTAACGGCGTTGTTGCGCTTGACCATTCGGCGTTGTAAGATAGCTAAGGGCTGCACCAAGATGCGACCATCTGCACCACAAATATGAGGTCATTGTTGTGAGCTAATAGTTGGGCCCACGCGCTTCTTCAACTGAGAAACATGGAAGACCGGATAGATCTGTGAACCAGAGTGCAACTCTAATCGGTAAGCAACTATACCTATTTTCTGTAGGATCTTGTATGGACCATAATACTTAGTACTCAGCTTAAGATTCTTCCTTATAGCTACTGAAGCTTGCATGTACGGTTGTAATTTTAGATAGACCATGTCTCTTACTCCCAGCTCTCTATCTGATATGTTCTTATCTGCGTAATACTTCATCCTTGCTTGTGCTTGGTTAAAGTTTGTAGCATTTGTTGTCTCTGTGCAAGAAATGACCCTACTGACGTGTGAGTAGAGTAGGGAAGTGAGCCCAGTGGTACCTGTGGGGGAGGAAACCCGTATAGAGCTTGGAATGGAGTTGTCTTGAGTGAGGTTTGGTGGTTGGTATTGTACCACCACTCTGTCAAAGGTAGCCATCTAATCCATTGCTTGGGATTAGAGAAAGTCATAGCTCTTAAGTAAGTCTCCACGCATCTATTGAGTCTCTCAGTTTGCCCATCAATCTGTGGGTGGTAAGAGGTTGACAAATTCAACTTAGTACCCAATGATCTGAATAGTTTTTGCCAGAACTGACTTGTGAAGATGGCATCCCTATCAGTCACTATGGTTTTGGGCAACCCATGCAGTCTGTAGATTTCCTTGAGAAAAAGGTCATCTATGTCTTGTGGAGTGTAAGGATGTTTTAGTGACAAAAAATGCCCATACTTTGTTAGTCTATCTATCACTACCAAGATCACATATTTGTGTCCTGATTTAGGAAGTCCTTCAATGAAATCTATTGTTATGTCTTGCCAAGGCATTTATGGAATGGGTAAGGGCTGCAATAGACCTGGGGAAAGCACATGTTCATTCTTCACCCTTTGACAAATGTCACATTCAGAAACTTATTTAGTGATTTCAGCTTTCATGTTAGGCCAGTAGAAGACTCCCTTAATTCTTATATAGGTTCCCATTTGGATAGAATGACCTCCTAAAGGTGACTAATGCAGAGCTTCAAAAATTTATTTCTGAGGTTAGCTCCCCTTCCCACATAGATCCTCTGTTTGAATCTGATGATGTCTTGCCCAAGAGAGTAGTGGGGTTTGTTATTAGGAGTTGTGATCAACTCAGTGATGAGTTGAGAGGCTGAGGGATCATGTTCATAGCTTTGCACCACCTCTTGCATCCATGTAGGGTCTGTACTGGTGATAGCATTCAAGGTTGAATGCTCAGGCTGTCTTCTAGACAATGCATCGGCTACCCTGTTTTCTGTCCCCCTTTTTATATTGCACCTCATAGTCAAGTCCCAACAGCTTAGTTAGTCCTTTTTGTTGAAGTGCAATAGTCACTTTCTGATCTAATAAGTACTTAAGACTGTGGTGATCTGTTCTGATGATGAAGTGTCATCCTTGTAAGTAGTGCCTCCATCTGTCAACTGCAGCTAGCACTGCCATGTATTCCTTCTCATAAGTTGATAACCCTCAATGTCTAGGGGCTAGGGCCTTGTTGAAAAAGCTAGTGGTTTTCCCTCCTGCATCAACACTGCCCCCATTCTTGTAGAACAAGCACCAGTCTCCACCACACATGTTTTATCAAAGTCTGCTAAGGCCAAGACTGGGGCAGTAGTCATAGCCTTTTTAAGGTTTTGAAAGGCTAAGTATGCTTCTAAGCACCATTGAAATGGATTTTTCTTCAGTAGGTTGGTCAAAGACTTACTGATAACCCCATAAGACTTGACAAATCTCCTGTAGTAGCCTGTTAACCCAAGGAATCCCCTCAAGGCCTTAATAGAGTTTGGTGTGGGCCAATTAACCATTGCATCTATCTTGGCTGGATCAGTGGTCACCCCCACCTGTGATAATATGTCCCAAATATTCCACTTTATCTTGGCAGAAAGAGCATTTTGACCTCTTGGCATACATTTGTTTTCTCCTGAGCACTTCTAGGAGTGCCCTCAAGTGCACCATGTATTCCTG